GTGTCTATATATATATATAATTGCGTGGTGTGATTGAAATTACAAGTGCTATTTTTACTAGTATGAGCGCAACTTGGTAACGTTATCTGTAATATATTGTTTGAATACTTGCTTCAAGAAAAAGAAAATAATCCAAAATGCCTATTTAAAGTATGTAGAAGCTCCCGAGTTCTTGTTACTCTTTTTTATCTTCACCACCTCACGTCTCTCTTGCTACCGTTAACATAAAAGTTGTAGTTTATTATATGTTGTTGACTTTCCTATCCATTATTTATCAATTCCTTTTTCTGCCTTGATTAATCAATATTTATTAACATATTTGCAGTAATTTATTTAATAGGAAAATCAGGTTAAAAGGATAACTTATTTGAAACTAAACAAATTTTATTACATAAAATTAAAAGGGCTGGGGATTGGCCCATGCAGGCTACTTTAATTTGTATTGTTTGGTAATATGATTTAATCTGTTATTTGAATTGTTTTCGTGTTTTTTTTTTTTTATTATTTTGAAGTAAAAATAAAAAATTATTTTAATGTATTTCTAGTTAAAAAATATATTTACATCTACCAGGCATCATAACTATAATAAATTCACTGCTTCAATTCAATTTCATGATCTATAATAATTTGTCCTATTTTTACCCTCTTCCATTTTAGTTTTTATACACACACACATTGTTTTTTTTTTTAATATTTGGTTGAAATGCGTTAGGAAAAAAAAAACTTACCATTTTATTTAAGTTATTATTGAATTTTGTCATTGTTATTAAATAATTTTATGAGTTTTTGTTAACAATTATATAGCTGATAATAATTATTTTATGGGATTTGTTTATATATTTCTATCATGAATCGATAAAAATCGTTAAGAGTTTTTTTTAAAATATATACCTAATATGCCAAAAAAATATATTTATTAAAAAAATTCCCCAGTATAAATATTTAAATACTATTTTATTTTGAAAAAACCTATTGTTATTTTTACTTAAATATGGTGTTTATGTTTAAAAAACATGTTTTTGTTAAAATAATAAAAAAATGCATTATTTAAAAAGTATATTTCTCCTCAATAATTTTATGCATTTAGGAGTCATGACAGACGTCATCATTTAGACATGGGTTAAACCAATTTAATTTAAGTTAATCTAGAAAATCATCAATTAAATATTTTCTAACATGTTATTAAAATTAGCAACCCTTTAGAAATCTACCTTAGCATATACCAAACTAACTGTAAAGCCCTTTTTAATCCCTCACATTTTCAATATTCTCACATATTGCCTCAACAAGAGATTTCTTATAAAAATTCTAACGACATCATTCATCACCAAGCCTTATCCTACCCGATACCACTTAAACACCTAAAACAATTTTAATATATAATCACAGTACCAATTTTCTCTAGTTTTAGCCTCGTTAAAAAAAATCAAATATTTCAATACATAACAAAAATAATTAAATTCTTTGCAATTCTGATTAAAATGCTCAACACAACACCCAAGTAATTCTAACATCTTTAAAACATCTCAATCAACCTAATTTAGTCAACAATCATCTTAACCACAACAAACTTGGAATTTCGTTCCTACATTTTCCAAAAACATGTAGACTAATTTAGTCAACTTAAGTTAGGTAATTTATCATTTCTTAATTAAAAATTATTTTATTTAACATTAACTTATTTATTTTTAAATCAGAGGTTTACAAAGTAAACTCTCACCCAATTTCATTTAAAACGAGGCCAAGTTATCGAGTAAGCATGTTAACTCGTCAAGCTCAACTAGTTAAATAACCTTGCTGAAATACTCCTATCGACGACATATGAAATCAACTAATAATAACTAAATAGTGGAATCTAACTTCAATTAGGGGTGTTCATTTTGATTTAGTTTGTTTTTTATAAAAAAAAATAACAAAATTAAAATTTAAAAAAGATCAAAACTGATTCAAATCGATCGGTTTTGGTTCGGTTTAGTTTCTTAGGACAAAAACTAGTTTAAACCAGCTTGGCTCGATTTTTCCAGATTTGCTTGTTTTTTTGGTTTGGGTTTGGTTTTTTTGGTTTCAGGCTTATAAAACCAAAACAAAACCAAACCAGTCGGTTTTTTTAAAATTTTAATTAGTTTAATCGATTTTTTTCACTGTTTGGTTTTTTTAATTATTTTTTTTCTTGGTTTAATCAGTTTTTTAATTTTTTTCCCCACCTTTAACTTCAACAAGACCTTTCTTTTAATTCTTCCAAGATCGCTTCACCATTTTTCTTATCCATTTTAAAATAAATCATAGTTATATATTTTTCTTATCCATTTTAAAATAAATCATAATTATATATGTTTGATCTGGTTTAAGGTTCAAGTCGCAAGTTGGGTAAATTAACCTATTATTTTATTAACTTCAATAAGCTAGCCCATTTAAATTCGTATACACACAACATTATAATCTTCCAAATATACAGGAGTTAATGATATTATCAACAATTTACATATCCAAAAGATTTAATTGTAATAAGAGCAGACTCTGAAACTACTAGGATGCGCAGTATTGAGATGAACCTACATAATGATTTAAGAGATAATCATAATCAATTAGAGCATTTTCTTTTGGAAAGTGAATTTCTAGAAAGTGAATTATTTTCTAATGTTTGATAGTATTATGGAAAATGAATTGGAAAACACTTTCCAGTGTTTGGTTATGTTATGGAAAATGAACTGAAAAATAATTTATTTTTTTCAAGTTTATTAAAATAATGAAGAACAAGTCTTACAAATTAAAAAGTTAAATGAGAATAAAATTGAAAAAAAATACAATTTTATAAATTATCTCAGATAAAATAAATAATAATAAACATAATAAAGATTAAATCTAAAAAAAAAAGATGAAGAAATTAAAATAATAATAATTAATATTTCATAAAGTATTTCAAATAAA